CAACCGAAAGCAGGGCAGATGGAGGCAGAGACTGGAATTGTTCTCACAAACGAAAAAATGCCAAGAGCCACTAAAGAGCTGGAACAGGGGTGTCAAACTCATTTTCACTGGGGACCACATCAGCCTTGTGGTTGTCTTCAAAGGGATGAAGTAATTTTAGAACTGTATAAATGTAACTACTCCTTATCTGTTAAGGAGTTGAAGTTACATTTGGCCCTTGGAAGGCACCCATGAGGCTGATGTAGCCCCCAGTGAAAATGAGTTTGACACCCTGAGCTAGAAGCAGCAAGGAAGGATTCTTTTCTAGAACCTTCACATGGCCCTGTTGATACCTTGATTTGAGTTCTAGCCTCCAGACTTGTGGCAGAATCAAGTTCTTGAATTTTTCCTCTCTCCTGGATTCACTCATTAGGTGATCTTTTCCAGGCACATGTATGTACTTTATTTTTATTTTTGGGTAGGCAATATGTACACAAAGCATAACATTCACAAAATGCAAAATCATATACAGTAGAAGGTTCTCTGTGGCCATTACCCTCAGCCGCACAGATCTCATCCCAGGAAGTAACTGATGTCAGTTACTTCTGTACATAGTCTGTGTGTATACAAGCAAATGCATGCCTACCTATGGGTGTGATGTGTGAGTGCACACTGTATATACACACCAATGTTGTTTTTTTTTATCAGTTTCTAACTGCACAGTCTTTCATTTTAGGAACCTGCCAAAAGTTTACATTTGTTGCAGCAGTTTCAGCCAATAGACATTTAGATCATTTCCATTTTTCAACTTATTATTTAAAAATGGAAATAGTATTGTTTAACAAGTTAGTGTTGAGCCTGTGTAAGAGCGTCCATTGGCTAAATTCTTAAAAAAGAGAATCATTGGTTTAAAGAGTATCTGGGTTAATTTTGATTATCATTACCAAGTGGCTTTCACTTATTGAAGGTTGTACCAGTTTTGACTCCACACCAGAGAACCACTGTTTCACCACATTTTTTCCATTTCAGTGGGTTTTTATCAGTTCTATATGTACAACACAGTGATAAAACCAATACATTCATATACCTTTGATCTCTGGCAACTGGGCAGGTGAGGTGAACATTATTTAGCATATTATATTTGAGTCATTTGTATTTCTCTATAGTTGAGAACTGTTTATTTTTCTCATTTTTCTATTGAAGTTTTAGTATCTTTCTTACTAAGTTATAGGAACTTTTTCCTTTAGGTAAATTAGCTATTACCTATATGATTTTCTTTTGACTTTATCATAGTTTTATGATACATGTATTTAAAATTGTAGCTTATACTAATCTTTTATAATATCTGAGATTTAAATCATTCTTAGAAATGCTTATCTGACCTACTCCTGATTCTGAAAATCAGTTATTAAAAGGGAAGAATTTAACATTTTCTTGACTTGTCAGAAATCCAGAGAGTAACAAATAGACCCAGTTAATAAAAGGAAGGAAGGAAGGCGGGAGAGAGGATGGTTTAGCGTTGTCATCTGTGAACTGTTATCCCAAAACATTTGACCTGACTCTAATTAAGATTAGATCTAGCATTTTACAGAAAATATTGGGTTGGCCAAAATGTTCATTTGGTTTTTTAAGTAAGATGATTCCTGCATTTAGTTGTCTTTAACTCCATTCAAAACAATTTTGTTAGATTATATTGCAACAGCTGTCACATCTGTGTGTATTAAAAACAAGTTATCGAAATTGGTGATCTTTTGTGTAATCATTTTAATATTGAAGATGGAAGAAAATACATTTCAGCATATGATTATTTTAAGAAAGGTAGAAATGCAAATGAAATAAAAAAATTGTGCAGTGTAAGGAGAAGGTGCTGTGACTGATCGAATGTGTCAAAAGTGAACTTCTGCAATGTTTGTTGCTAATATTTATATTTTGGCCAAAAAATTCTCTGCTGCGGGCTGTCTCATGCATTGGAAGATGTGTAGCAGCACCCCTGGCCTCTACCTACTAGAAGCCAATAGTGGGAGACAGCCGACATACTCAAAATATCCAAATCAATAAATTTATTGGTGAAAATAAAAATCATTTCTTTATTTTATGGCAGAAATTAAATGGACGTTTTGGCCAATCCAAGATAAGGGGGAGAAAAGTTAAATCATGAGGAAATAATCAAATAAGACCAGAAACAATCTAAGACATTCAGACAACTTGTCCTGATTTTTAAAAAATTCAGTGTAATTAAAATATATGTGCTCATCCAGATAAAAATTTAAGAGACATTAACAACTAAATGCAAACTGTCACATTTGATTTGATTCTATTCCAAAATAAAGAAAAACTGTATTTATAGCTTACTGACAAAAAGCATATACAAATTAAAAATTTTAGTATGCTCAAATTGTTCCCTAATATACTAATTGTATTGAAACAAATTCTTGTTTTCAGAATAAACTTTTTAACAGAACTTATTTTATTTTCAATGCTTTAATTGGGACAATATTTTGGTCATATAGGTGAGCACACTTATTTTTGATCAGCTATCTAGTGGTGAGGTCAGATCTTCTGTAATGCACTTTGAGATTATTGAGCACAACACAACACAACACAAATGAAGGGAAGGAATGTGACAAAGCACTTAGAATTGTTTTGTCTAAAAACATTGAGTTTGTTAGCCAAGTTCTTTCTTTGCTATTACCGTTCTGAGCTCCCAGTCTCCCTGCAGGTTGTCAGGGAGGCCCGTCCCGCTTGCCGCCACATTCCTGCTCCGGCTTCCAGGCAGCCTCCTTGAGGGGAAGGTGGCTAAAACCCCTCACACATCTAATCTCTCCAGCTTGTTGTGCCATATCACTAACTCCAGACGGAGGCAGTTCTATGCTTTTAAAGGCTCTTGGGATTATGTTGATTCTTTTAGGTAATCCAGTATACTCTCTTTATCTTAAAATGCATTACCTCAATTATATGTGCAAAGTCCCTTTTGCCTTGTAAAGTGACATAATCACAGGAGCCAGGGATTAGAGTGTAGACATGTTTGAGGGACCATTCTGCCTACTAACAACATATCTGAAATGTTAAAATTATACAAATGCTTCTTCACTACAAAATAATCACTCCCACAATGATAACATTCTGTGTTTTTACTGTCAGAACTTTAACAGTTTTTAAAACATCCAAGTAAGTGTTGGGTTCACTTATTGTTTATTCCTTTCCCTCTCGCATGGGCTGCATAGAGGGGTGACATGTGCCATCCACAGTGTCAGCATCGCCCATTTGTCCGAGGGGCAGGCTGCCACAGGGCTCTGGCTGCGGAGCCTCCGCATCACATGTCATTTTCTTGCAGGTTCTTATACTTGAGTTTCAGCTTCACTTAAAGCAGAAAAAGCATGGCTCATTTTATGAAGATATCTCTTCTATTCAAGCTTAGTTCAGTTCAAAAATAATGAATGCTTTTAAATTTCTTCCCTGTACCTGCATTGGTTGCCTGATTATTATTTTTTAAATTCAAATCTGTTTTCTTTTTGTAAACTAAATTCTTGGGCTACATTGTAAAGGCAATTGGGCAGGATGCCTCCTTGGATCCTGGCTTGCTCTTTATTTCCTTAATTAGAGCTTTACTGGGGGAAACTCAGGGTGATAAGGCAGGCCTGTGAATTATCCACAGAGCTCCGTCAGAACAAGCATTGTGACACCTGGAGCACGGGATAAGTGGTGTGGAGGAGAAAAAGTATGAAAGAAAGATATACTAATAGAAAAGGAAGATTTATGGGAGACCAAGATCCCTGGAGATTAGCATGTCAGCAGAAATAAAGTACTTTTATAAACATGGTAGCAAGCACTGACATATTTCGGCAAATGAGAACATTCAACTGGAGAAGATTCAGGGGAAGAAAGCATTCCCAAGACAATGCACTTGGGGTTGATGGCATATTTAGCAAGATCAGGGCTGAGGTCCAACTCGGCCAATTACCAAGGCTCCTTGCTCTTACCAAGCTAGAGAGTTATTTCATCTACATACTACCTAGCGCATGTTCAAATGCTACTTTTTCTGAATTCAATGGTTAGCTTTGAAATATGTAAATGCACACATCCCACATGCCTCCCCCATTAACCCCAATTACCCCAGCCTGGGCTTACAAACAATTTAGGGGCTTCCCATATAGCCTTGTGCTTTCCAACCTATGGAACCGACTACAGCCTCTTGCAAGAGACAAAGACACGCTTTACCTCATTTACAGTTTTGCTAATGGCTGGCCCTAGAGATTGGATAAGGAAATTTGGTTGGGTTTTAGAATGTACTGATTTGGAATCCAGGATTTGGGAAATACATAGTATGTACTATAGATTTTATCATAGAAGTTAAAAAATCAATATGTTTGGAGCTGATAGAGGTAAGCAGTTTGATTGAAAATGGAATAGTGTGAGCCAAATTTAGGACAGAAGGAAAATTACTGGTGCACATGTGCTTCAATGGACGTAATAGCATCGGCATATTTAGGGCAAAACTGCTGCTCCGCAGTGGAGCAGCCAGGGCTGCTTATCAGGCCGCTTCACGAGATGCTTTTCTTAGCTTGTCAGACCTCTTTGTATTTGTCTGTAATCAGGCTGCTTATCCCAGTGAAAGCATACCAAAGTCTCCTTTTTTCCCCTCATTATTTTTGTTTCCTTTTTATTCCCTTCTTACCTTCTGTATTTTCCTTTTATTCTTCATCCTCATTCCCCTTACTCTCGTGTTTTAGTTTTTGATAAAATTGAAAAACATAGTTTTACATATGCTTTGGAACCATAACAAGAAACCATCAATACCCTCTCATCTGAATTGAAACAACTGCCAAACGTTACAAAAAACATATTTTCCTTTTGAGAAACAGGCCAGACTTTACTGTAATATCATTTGATTTTGTGTTAGTATTTTTGAATGCTTGATAGAAATTCAAGATGTGGTGCTTGGAACACTCATTTGTCAATTATTACAGCAACAATAGAAAACTATCACAAAGTTTATGGCTTAAAAAACACAAATTGATTACCTTATAGTTGTGTGGGTTAGAAGTCCAATACAGGTCTCATTGGTGAAAGTCAAGGTGTCAACTGGGCTGAATTCCTTTCCGAAGGCTCTGGGTGGGGGGAAAAATCTGTTTGCTTACCTTTTATAGCTTCTGTTGGCCGGCCACATGTCTAGGTTTACGGACCCCCTTCCTCCATCTCGAAAGGCAGAGGCACTGGATTTCTCTGATCCTCTTGGTAGCTGTAGCTCCCTCTGACCACCACCCAGCCAGGTTCTCTGCTTTGAAGGATTGGCAGATAGATTGGGCCCACCTGGAGAACTCGGGCTCCCCCTCCCCATCTCCAGGTCTTTTGCCACAATCACATCTGCAAAGTTTTCTTTTTCTGTGTCAGGTAAACATTCACAGGTTTCAGGGATTAGTAGAAGGTGGGAGGGGACTGTATTCTGGCTACCACAATCTTTATCAGAATCACCTGATTTTCTTGCAGTTAAAAAAAGGGCAGTTCCTATGTTCTATGCTTTGCTTGACTGAACTCTGGGAATCTGCATGTACTTCCACTTTTTAAAAGAGGTTCCCAGATATTTTTATGTACATGCGTTCCTCATTTTATGTACCATTCTTTATCTTCACCCACATCTGAATTGAGTGGCCTTGGGAACTCTGAATAAATGTTCTCTGAGGAATTTGCGTGTTGGTGGACTAGGTGGTTGGTCATGGCCCCATCCCAGTTATTTCCAACAGCTGCGCATGGCTATGATATCATTTAAAGAATTCTAAAGTTTTAATTTAGGATAAAAGTGTGCCATGTTTCAGTGAACTAACATGGAACAGATGCTTCAGCACAATTTCAAACAGTTTACATTGCTGCAAATGTATAGAACTCTAGAGATATGGAGACCTGACAAACCCCTTAACTATTAGTCTAGAATTTACCCAGTGGGCCATGCAGCTAACAAGTGAAAAGAGTGAGTGGCATATTCACAATATAGAATCAAAAATAATGTGCTCTACTACCTGAACACAGTAAAGCATATTAAGGGCCCAATTTTTTTCTAAAAGTAGGAATATCTTATAGTAATAAATGTTGTTTTTTTCATTATTGTAGCTTTAGCATAGTTAATATTCACTTAACACTTCATGTTAATAATATGTGAGCACATTCATGTCCATACATTAGTATGCACTAAAATTTTGATAGTTATATTTTTTGGTGAAGTCGTAACCTGAAGTTTTCACTGACGACAAATCATAACCTTCATTTAGATTCAAAAGATCACATTTAATTACAGTATCAAAATAAAATAAAACTCAGCTATATGTCAAGCAGTTCTTAATATGAACATAAAAAGAAAATCATGGTCCAGTGGAAGAATGCAACAAAGAACTATTGGAGAATAAGCAGGAACGAATGTGCTCCAAGGTCCATCCGATTACTGGACCACTAGGCGATGCTGAGCCGGATCATCTGGGCTCAAGGAGGAGAGCCCCCTAAAGCTCTTCTTCCCTTCCTGGAGGCATTTATTCAATGAGACTTTATGTAACGAGACATTTATTTTATTTCAAGGCTTAGGTTTTGACCTCTTGAGAGTTCCTTTAAACAAGCATTCTTGGGAGAGATACCACACTAAACATCTAATAGATTAAACTGAGAAGTACAGGGGTAGCAAACGGTAGGTTTACAGTTATAAGGATGTGAAACACAGAGTTTGTTCTTATATTATTATTTACTTACTAGTGTATCTGTGTTCTTTGTCTTATTATTATTGTTGCTGTTATGTTATACCCTTAATTATGATTTATTTTTTAGGTGATAAACGCTGGTAATTTGACTTCCTTTTGCCTACCCCTGTATATTTGTCTAGTTTCCTCCAGGTAAACATCACCTGGAAGGAAACAAGTCATTGTTGTAAGAATGAGAAGGAACGCAGAAGCTGGAGATCAGGAGTTTCTAAAAGATACTTCTCAGTTTTCACTCTGAGCCTAAACAAGATTCTGTACATACAGCCCCAAAGTTGATGGGAGATATTATCTCTCAATATCCATTTTCCTGTTCCTTAAAGTAATGAACATGCCCCCAAATATTGTGGTAATAAGCCTCTGGGGAAAAGCCTAAACTTTTCAGCCTCCTTTGTATCCCTGTGTGGCCATGTGACCATGTTCTTTGAACATAGGAGGGAGGGATGTGTCCTCAGCGAAAGACAACTGCTTTTTCTTCCATTTCCTTCTCGTAGCTCTGGCATGCAGATATGTCAGAGCTGGCTCTTGGCTGAAGGGTGGAATCCTCCTTTAAAGAATGAGAGAACAGCCCTGGCTGGTGTAGCTCAGTGGATTGAGCACAGGCCTATGAACCAGAGGATCCCAGTTCAATTCCCAGTCAGGGCACATGCCTGGGTTGCAGGCCAGTTCCCAGCAGGGGACACACCAAAGGCAACCATACATTGATGTTTCTCCTCCTCTCTCCTTCCCCTCTAAAGATAAATAAATAAAATCTTTAAAAAAATGAGAGAACAAAGAACAGAGGGAGCTCTGAACTGCCTGATTTACATGAACAAGAGCTAACCTTTCGCCTCAGTTAAGCCACAGTTGTTTTGGATTTTCTGACACTGGTACCTGAGCTAAATACTAATTAAGCAGGTACTTTAGTGCCTAATAATTTCTTTTACTACTGGTTTAGAAGCAAACAGTACCTGAAAGTAAAAAAGTATCAGGTGAGTTAGAAGCAGTGGGCAAGCATATTAAATAAAAGTAAATATTTCATTTGTCCTGTTTTTTTCCCTTCCTTTCAGCCATCCATCAACCCTGCTTTTCTCTTCTATTTTCTTGCATTCCACTGACCCTTGCAAGTCTCTTCATATTCCTGCTTACATATAGGCATTCATTTGTTTATATACCATTTATTGAACAGCTACCGAGTTTCACAGCCCTGGGTAATATGAAAAATATACAGACAGGTTTCACAAGGAGACATAAATGTTATCTAGGTAGTCTTGGCATTACAGGGCTGCCATGTTAGAAATCAAGAGATCCAGTGCCCTCGTTTCACAGTTGAGGAAACTGAGACCTAGAGGTACTTACACTGTGTTGCACAGCCTGTTGTAGTAGAACCACTGAAACATGAGGCTCTCACATTTGTCACTGGTGTTCTTTCCATTGTGCCACAGTTTTATTTCAAGGTTTTCCATGGAGTGGGGACTCTCACTGCTTTTGTGGTGGACATTTAATTTTATGATTTAGTTAAGGATAAAGAACTACGTTCTACAAGTTTGCCTTTAGCCAAATATATTTGATAGCTCCACGTAAACTCTGTCTCCACTAATTATGTTGCTTCCCAATAATGTGCAGGTATATGTGTGTGGTGATGGTGGCTTTGGAAGCTTAGATTTCAAAAGATATGGCAGTACTCTATTACCCTAATAGTAGTGACTTTAATTGGAATTGTGCAATGGTGTATAAAAGACCTGGCAATGCCTGTGTAGCCTGGTTAAAAATTGAGCTGCCAAACTGGAAACTAGCTTCAAATTTTCCAGCCTATAGAGCCTATAGGTCTGACAGGAATCATTCAAAGTGGTAGAAACACCCTGGATTAATTGGGAGGTTTGAATACAGAAATCAGAGCAGAAACAGCAATTTTTCACACCCTGTGGCTGTGATTCTCCTATTCACCTTCCCCCTGCAGTGAAGTTTTAATGAATCGCTATAAAGGGTGAGGTGGTTTGAATCTCAGGAAAGATAAAATTGTTGGGCTCCAAGAAAAACAAAACAGATGGCATGCCTTAAAATTTTTGCTTTCATATTTCAATTATTCAAAAATACCTTCTGTAAAGCTGGCGTCTGTTCTGTAAAAGGCGTTTACACAGTAAGGAAGTTGCCAAATGAGTGGGGGAAAGTAGATTAAACTGCTGAAGGCATTTTATTTTTATTACAACAGAAAGATGTTTTAATTAGTTATTTACAATATTTCTGACTTGGAACTGGGTGCTTATGTGGCAGAAAACACTCAACTTCCCTTAACAAGTATGGGCTGATTTCCATCATGTTTTTCTGTTTTGAATGCTGTTTTAACTATTTAATTAAAGTTTAGATTTTGATCAGATTTTTAGAGTGCCAAGCTTTATTCATAATATTTTATATACTTTATACTTTACTAAATGCCTATAGCTGGTCCACAAGCAATTATGAGCACCTTTGCATTTCATGTAAGGCTCTGTGCCATGTTCTGAGAATAAAGGTGTCAGAATCTCAGGGAACTTAGAGTCACACAGAGAAGACATGGATTACTAAGAGAAGAAGGGGAAGGGACTAGCCATCTGGAGGAATAGCAGAAGTCTTCATAAAAGAGTCCCCGCTTCAGCAAAGAGCTGAAGGACAACTGAAGATCTGCAAGGCAGACAAGAAGGGCCTGGAGACAATAGTCTAGAAAGCAAAAATAAAATCATGGAACTGAGCAAGTACATGGCATATTTAAGCTATATTAATATTTTTTAAGGTGATTGGAGAACTGAGTATGTGGAGGAAACCAGCAGAAAATGAACACAATAGGAGGTTAAGAGAAAAAGTTCTATTCTCCACCGAAACCATGTCATGCCTTTCCCATCTTGTCTGCTGAGCTTCCATAGTACCAGGCACCGCCCTCTCAAGTTTCAGCTCTTAACCTTGCTTTGCATTACCCTGAGAAAGCAGAAGTGATCAGGTCAGCACCTTACCATCAGCAAGTCCCCAACCAATCTCCACAATCCTCTTTCATGACACTGATTCAGTAGGCTGGTTCCCCCCATCCCCATTTGTTTTGGATCCATTCCCTTTTGCCTTCTTATGGAATGTTGTCTCCCGGGATTTTCCTTTTCTGCTGCTTCTGCTTTTCTCCGCAGACTAGTCTCATCAGATAAGAAATGTGTTCTAATGTCTTCCATCTGAAAAACAAACAAAAACATTGACCTTCACCCCATATGCCACTTCAATTTTTGTGGCAAAGTAGTGTGTGTGAGTCCATTATTTCAAGTGCTCCCTTAAAATTCCTAACTTCTCTGGGCCATAAGATTAGTTCTTGCCCATGGATTGTGAGTAAAAGTAACATGTGACACTAAGAGCTGGTGTACCTTCTCCGCAGATCCTTCCCCTGTCACGTAAACTTGGAGGCCACGTGATCCAGATGGCATAACTGCAGAATGGGGGTTCAGGAGGTCATCAGTGAATCATCAGGGAGAGTGACACATAAACATTTATGGTGTGCAGCACTTGGACTTGTCTATTAAAGGCAGCTAGCATAAATGACCCTACAATAGAGCTGCCACTCTATTCTTCTGCCCCTTTCCACTGTAGTCCATACAAATTTTTGCAAATACTTTCATTTTCTTCACATGCATGACCCTTCCAATTCACTAGTCTCTTACTAAGTTTACC